ATTAGCATTTACTTCCTTTTCCCCACTTTCTCTAACTTCCCCCTAAGTAAACCACTAGCCCATTTCTTATCTTCATAGATTTACCTATTCTAAACATTTCATCTAAAATAAATCATATAATGTATGTTCCTTATGACTGGCTTCTCTTACTTAGCATATTCTCTTTAATGTTCATCCATGTTGCAGAAAGTATCAGTACTTCGTTCATTTTTATGGGTGAATAATATCCCACCATATGGATATGCCACATTTTATTTCTCCGTTCATCAGATGATGAACATTTGGGCTGTTTTAACATTTTGTCTATTATAAATAATGCTGTTATAAACATTTGTATACACTGTCTTAAGTAAACTTAGGTGCTCATTTGTCTTAGGAGTGTATCTGGGAGAGGAAATGGTGTGTCAATTTGAGGAACTGCCAGACTGTTTCCCAAGAAGGTTTCACATTTAATTTTTTCCAGGAGTGTATGAAGATAATGAATACTTTCAATTATATTTAAATATACATAGTGTAAAAGTCTCCTTCTTATTCTTTTTTAGGTAAATAGTTCAGTAGTGCCAAGTACACTCATATTTTTGTGTAGCCAATCTACTGAACTCTTTTCACTTGTGAAACCGAAACTGCACCTATGAATTCCCCATTTCCTCCTCCCCTAACCTGTGGCAACCTCCATTCTACTTTCTGCCTCTGTGAATTGAACTACTCTAGGTACTTCCTATATGGAAAACAATACAGTATTCTTCTTTTGGATATTAGTTTATTTCACTTAGTTTTGTATCCTGAAATGTTTTCCATAGAGTAACATGAATCAAAATTTCCTCTTATTTTTAGTTAAAAAACTGCTACTGCATATGTGTATCACATTTTGTTTGTCCATTCATGGTTTTATGGTCATCTATTTCATTTTTGTCTATTTTCAGTTTTGCTGCTATGGTACAAGTGCACCAAAGAGAGTGAATCTTACCCTTTCATGTCCTAAGAAACCTCACCAGCCTGTTAAGATGTGTGTTTTGAGGAACTATTATCCCACCACTGGTTCCAGTTCACAATATCTTGGCTGGAGTTTAGAAAGTTTCAAGCATTTTTGATCCTATGTGAGCGGGGCACCAGTCCTATGAAATTACCATACAGGAGAATTCCTCTTGGTCCCTCCAGTGAAATCTGGTTTGCACCCTCTCTCTGCTGAAGCTTTGATCTGCACATCAAGGAAAGGGTATATGGTTAGCTTTTGGTTCTCCCTTTCTTTCTTTGCACAATGTTCTAAAAATGTTTCCAAGACTCTAATTCATGGCATCAAGAGAACCCAAAGCAAGAAGTCATATATAGAGCAATGTCTTGCTGTGCCTGGAATGACTTTTAGAAAGGGAAGGGTTATCCTTTCAGATCCATGCATGAGGAAGCCTAAAATAGAGATGTGCTAGACCACAGCACAATGCTCATTCAACTCAGGAGCAATGCTGCCTCCACCAGACAGAAATCAAAAATGCTACAGCGAGGAAACGAGAACATGGTCAGAGCTTCTAGGGCTTATATTCACTGATTGGTTATTGAAAATGTGTGCCAAAAGTATTAATAGCAGATGATATGTAGGGGACAGATGTCCAAAACTGGAAGCTAAATCAGCAACCTACTTATCAGCAGATCTTTGTCCAATTTGACAGTCGGCTTGCTGCGTGACCTTGGGCTACTTATTTGATCTTGCTGAACCACACTTTCCTACACAGTAAATTGGAAGCAGTCTTTATAAGAAAGACTGTTTCTAAAGCAGCATTGGCTGGTTTGCTGTCTTCCCACTGATATTAATGTGTGTTGATGGCAGCTAAGGTTTTCTGAGAGCAAGATTATCTTGCTGTGGTTGAGGTTAATACACTGAGATATTAGGAGACAGAAGCCACAAAGTTTCATGAGTTAGTAGATGAATAAAGGTGATAGTGGTTGCATCTGTGGTTATGATATTCAAATACCCTTGGCATTTTTAAGTGTGAATCAAACAGGCAAGTTTGAAGACATTGATTCACCTGGATAGAGTTGTATATTGCACAGTAAACTTCCATTTTTCCTGAATCTAAACAACTAAATGATAAAATACAAGTGATTGTAATTTTGCTCTTGAATGAGATACATTTTAAGCAAACTCAGGCTAGTGTCAGTGATGATCAGTGGAACATTTAGAGCCTTTTATGTCTATAAATCTGTAATTCCCTATAGAAATACAGTTGTCATAATAGCCATGTTGACTTAAGCAGCCCAAAATCTCAGAAAAATCTTTGGAATCGTCAAAATACAGTTTCACTCGATTTACTGACAGTGTTAAATCTTAGTAATCATTTTTCCAATTAGTCAAGCTGGTAGAAGCTTATGGTATATACTGTGATTACCAGGAATATAGAACTTTTAAGTTATCTACAACAAAATAGTAGCTGTCTTCCTCAGGGAAACTGGAGGAGCAGAAGAGTCTACAGGTTAGTCACTCACATTCTGGCTCTGCCACTTACCAGCCCCGCTAGGAATGGTCGTGCAAATGACTCAGCTGTTTGTGCTTTCATTTTATTATGGGTAAATTGGAGAAAATAATAGCACCTACTCATGGGTATAATGAGTTAAAAAGCTCAGAGTGCTTTAAATGGCACCAATAACAAGCTTTCAATAAAGGATAGTTTGTTACTACTATAGCACTTGCCAATTTGCTTGGTGCTTTTACCCACATTTTCTTATTTGAACTTCATCATAATCTTGTAAGATAAGAAGGCAAATGTCATAGATAAGAAAAGTAGATTAGAAATCTGACTCACTCATGATTTAGCTAGTAAATCGATATATTTGGTTGATAATCTGTCCTTACTATATTAGGGTCTCCTGCTTGGCCCAGCTGGGAAAATGGAGCTATTATGATAGTCTTTTCCTAGAACACCATCTTATGAGTATTTGAGTTTTAGATTAATGTACAGAAACAGAGGATATTCTAGGCTATCAAGGGTCATTTTTTAAAATTCAAGTTGTATGCCAATATCAGATGATGAATTAATCCCCAGATTAAAGGAGTCACATTTGACAAATCTTCTGTAATCTGTAAATTTACCTTTCAACAATGGCTAAATCTTTTCTAATAACTTTCAAGTTTTGTGCCTTCCCAAAAATGCTGAGGTTAGGAAAAGAGATGAGAAAAATAAACCTGTAAATACCTTGGTACCAAATTCTGGAGTTATTTTTCTCCAGTTTCATCTAGGGTTTTTGTCTTCTTCAGTGGGTTCTTAATGTCTTGTGACATGAAACATTCTCCCATTAGTACAAAGAAAATCTCCAGAAATATGCAAATATAGTACTTTTGATATTTAAGCAATAATTTCACTATTTAGATCATATTGCCCTCTTCCTAACCTGGATCCAATTGTTGAAAGGTGAGGACTCTAACCCTATAAACAGTAAAGTCAGAGCTCTGTTGATGTTAGATAGCCTTGTCTGTAGATAAAGAAATGCGGGTTGTAATCATTGTCCAGAGATACAAAGGAGAAATGTTCACCAAAGACCATTCAAAATATCCACATCTATTTTATAAAGTACGGCCCTAATAATGTTTTCCTCAGTGAAATCTGGTAATTATTCCCTTTGATTTTAACAACAGAATACTTAGCAAAATTCTAAATTACTCATCTGATCAAATAATGTAATCATTAAAAATTTTGACTCATGAGATCTGACTTTTGCTTTCTAACCTTTGATACTATTTAAGAAAATACTATAACTATTTCTAGGTTATGTGAGAGATTATGACATGGAAGCAAAGTATTAGTCTAGTCTTGTTCCTTTAGCCCCAAAAGTTGAGATGAAATCGTCTGATTTAATAATTTTTAGCCCATCTGTCTCCTCTGAGATAGGGCCAGATGTAATCAGACAGATTTATAGGGTGTAAAATTCAGAATGAATTAGAAAAGCCTTTCTGGGTGCAACCCAACACATCTTAAATCAACATCCCCTGAATGGACTAGAGCAATCTCTGGCTGGCCTGGTGGGGAAGTTGTCATGGCAACTGATGGCAAGCTCTGCCAGTGGAATGTGAAAGCAAACAATAGCGTGATGAGGTTGTGTGTACAGCAGCAGACTAAGGTTGCTTCTATGCAGGTACATTGTACACAACAGGAAACTTGTGAGATCGTCCCTTGCAATTTTGGCTGTTCATTTGAAATATAGCAAGTTATCAGTTTAAAATCAGTGCGGCTGGTAGATAACAGAAGCTGTGGAAAAATCATTACCCAGTAGATAGTCTCAACAGTATACAAAAGCCCAGAGGACTATTAGACTAATAGTATTCACAAATATGCTAAAGGAGGCTGAATCAGGCTTAAAGTAACACCTTTGATTCTTTAATGCCACCTTGTGTCCTAAAGATACTAAAATTTTACCCGAAGCCACCTTGAGAACCATCACTGGGCAGCTAGCTTCATACAGAAAATGTTGGAGCTGGATTATATTACAACATGACCGTCTTGTTTTCAGAAAACATATACATAATGTCTTCTAAGCCTCAAGATGACGAAAAATGAAAGTAACTTTGACAGAGTGGGAAAATGGGAAAAGAAATAGTGCAAGTTTTAGAAGTAGTTGCACGTGGTTACAAGACAGGTCTGGTATGGGAGGAAGCAACGGTAAAGATAGGATCAGAGTTAAAAAGTTTTGATGTCATTGCTACATTTTGCAGAGGAATAGTATCTTAAAATATGTTCGGCTATGTTGATAGCATGAATGAGTCAGATAAAAAACAAATGTGTATCACTGATTCCACTTTCACAGCTATTTTGTTCATGGTCAGTGGGCGGCAAGATTAAAGGTAGCATTTGCTCAAATGGTGCCTCAAACTCGCTTGTGATCTCTTAACCAAACCAAGCCCACCACTCATGACTGAACCATCGCCTGCTTGTTGCCATTCACACCATAATCAATTTCCAATTAACTTCAGAAATGTAAAATGATCAAACTGTGTTTCTGTGTGTTTCCTCCAGGGTTTGAGTTTTTCGAAACAAGTGCCAAGGATAATATTAATGTCAAGCAAACATTTGAGCGCCTTGTGGATATCATCTGTGACAAAATGTCAGAGAGTTTGGAGACCGACCCAGCCATCGCTGCCGCAAAGCAGAGCACGAGACTCAAAGAAACCCCTCCTCCACCACAGCCCAACTGTGGCTGTTAATGTCTACACACACACATGTACACACATATGCACACATGTGCACAGACACACGCGCGCGCACACACACACACACACACATACACACACACACACACACACACGGGCAGCTCCAGGAGTCTCTGGTTGCCAAGAAACAGCATTTATAAATGGTCTATTAGCCTTCACTTATACTGCCTACTCATTATTTGAAGGAAGTCTTTGATGTCAATGGCCCATACATGCATTCAATTTTGGAAGATTTACTCTATTAATATGTGACAAATATGTGATCTTAAATATGTAAGGACTATCCACCTATAAACATCTAGTACTTGCATGTGACTTGTTTTTTATTTGTCTAAAGGCTCTTGTTTTTCAAATTTTTTCTCAGTTATGCCATTGCTGAGATCTCAGCCAATAATATGATAATTGATTTGTGTGCCAGAGATTCAAAATATGTTATTTATTTGTAGGGGTGATGACTAAGGAATTGCTGGTGTGTGTGTGTGTTTGTGTGTGTGTGTGTGTGTGTGTGTGTGTGTGTGTGTGTATGTGTGCAGATTGGGGGGTTGCAGGAGACTTGCTTTCCTCTTCACTGAAAATCAAATATAGTGTTTTCTCTTGGTTAGGGACATTGTTGTAGCTCACTATTAGAAAATGTATCATTTTCCACTCCTATTGGCAACCAAGGAAACCACTGACTTTAAAGAAACTGAAATATTGTTTTTAAGGCCCTTACCAGTTTTCTTAAGTCATTAACATTGACCTGCCTAGAACTAGATGTAAACAATAATTTTAATTTATATGTTAAATAAGCAAATATCCTACCCAGGTCTGCACTTTCCAATGAGTCTAATTAAATTTCTGAGTATCTTAGAGCACTGAACACATAGATATATAATGAATGAAAGCCAATTATGCTGGCTGTAGAATTCCAAGGCCTGAGTACCCCAATTTCCTTAATGATTCCCCCTACCCCCATAACACACACACACTGCCACCATCACTGCTGCTGCCACCACCATCACTGTCTGAAAATGTCATCAACTCTGGAAATAGGCTTTAGGCTGAAACTTACTGGGGCTCCTTTTCCTGTAGGATGTTGATTTGCTGCCCAAAACATTGCCCTCTGCTGGAACTTCAGCTGTGTTCTTTTACCTAGTTAGAAGCTACTGAGTAATATTTCCAATTTGAAGATGATTTTCGTTTAAAATGTTTTCATCAGAGGCATATCTCCTCTGCAAGTCTCTAAATATTTTACATTAGACAGACACAGCTTTAGAGCTGAGAGTGACAGAAGCACTTCTGAATCATACCAGTTTGAGAGAGCAAGGGAAATATTTGAGCCACCCAGATTTTTATCCCAGATTTCCTGAAGACCATGTATAAATAGCAAGCAAACAACAATGTCCATGACCTTTGTAGAGCACTGGTGGGGAATTCAGCATCTATGTCAATGACTAGCATTCTTTACAGCTAGAATTTTAGGAAGGCAGCAGGCAATGTTTGGCAAATTTGTGAGGACAATTCCATTAAGTGGACTTTCTTTATTTCCATTGTATTAGATGTTTCCTTTTCTTTTAAAAAATAGAGATGCTTTTCATAAAGTATATAGATTTCAAGGTTATTAAGCAGAGATTTTGATAGAAAAACATGCATATATCTAAATATATCTCTGGAGAAATAATGCCCGCAAGTCAGGGAAATAGCCCCCACACACTATTAGTAACATAAAAAATGAAAATTCTGGTAAAAAGCATTTGGGGTGTTTTAAGCATCTTCATGTTATTTCTCATCTTCTTACTTTCAGATTCACTAATTGGCAGTACATTTATACTTTGGCTTCCTGCAAGGCAAGCTTAACTTATAACAACAAGAAAAATGTATGTTTTATTAGATTTTAATAGGGCAACCACATTCACAACCACAGGTATTAAAACAAAGGAAAAATAAACAAGAGTCATGAAGAACAGACTGATCTGCTATACTAGTAGTCTTAGCATGACTTTAACTTAAGTCAGAATGTGGCCATATTAAATGATGTAGCTCTTATGTTTAACTTTTACCATCTACTGTGAAATAGTAAGAACAAGAAACTCTTCTCATTCTCCCTCATAGCCCCTGTTCCACACATACATGATTCACATGAAGACTTCATAGGATACTTCAGATGGCCTTCATGTGTGTGCTGTTTTAATGTGGAAAACACAATGACAAAGGATGAAAAAGGGAAAGAGCCAAGTTTTGCTAACCTGAAAACTCCTTCCCCAAAGAACTGATTGCTGTTAGAATTAATTGACCCTTCGACCAGGAGACCAAACCCAAGTGCCCACTTGCAAGTATCAGATGTCCTAAAGTTGGACCTCTCTCTGTGTCCCGGTCAGAAAGAGTGATGCAGTAGTGGCCCGGCCATCACTACCAAGGAACACTCAACGCTTTGTCCTTTTCAAACCCCATGGGAGTAGAGCCTTCCTAATTAATTCTCAGTTCTGAAGCTCCCACTCTGCTGTGAATTTCATTCCAAATAATTCAGTGAAAAGTTTCCAGAGACAGTTATTGGGGAATTCAAAAGAAAGCACCTGTGTTCTTGATATAAAGCATATGAGAGAACATTTTTCATTCCTAATTGCATCAAGATATCTTATCTTCAAAATAAAAATATGGAAAATAGAGAAACCAGCCCAGGGTTCATTATGTGAGCTTCTATTGCACTGAGTTGAATTATTTACAAATCGTAGCACTTTAGCCCCAACGTTTTCCAGCCTTTTGGGCACTAGACATATATACACACATACTCACACACTGTACTCCACCTACCAACAACCTAAATGTCTACAGGTCATTTGTTTTTAACCAATAACCTAATTAAGTTTGAAATGTGACATGTTTAAAAAGTATGTGTTAGTTTGTAAATCCTGGACATCAGCTCTTGTTGTCTTTGATGTAATTGGACTAGAAATTCAAGTATGGTTTTATTCATCCTATGGCCACACCCCACTTCTCAAAATAGGTTTGTGAATAAACCTTCAGGGAGATGCTCCCAAGAACTTTGGTTTGCTTCCCTTTCCTATAGCACCTGAGAAATTGGATTGAAAATTGTTTTATCTAAATAGCTGTCTACGGAGTGAATCAGCATTTCAGGCTTTGGGAATGAGTGGATATACAAGATGCTGTGAAGTGCTGTTAAGCTCTAGGACAGTATTTTAACCACTGGCCTCACATCTACAGGCTCAGAAGAATTACTTCAAAACAATAATCAATTCCCTGTTGTTACCCCCACTGAACAGCTTCTACTGCCATCATGAACTTCTAATAACTATGAAGCAAGAGGTTCACATAGTTCCCGTTTGGGTCACTTTACATTCAATATCCCTTTGCTACCTGGTTAAAAAAAAAAGTGCCAAGATTTTTATTTGGAAAAGGGGTATGGTGATGCCTTCATTTGTGGAAAGCTGAAGCATTGTGATGATAAGTGTGAAATATAAATTCAACAAAACCACAACTCAAATTACATATAGAGATATCACTACACTCAATAAGCAAATGTGTATTTCCCTTAATTCTTTTGCAATTAATAATAGATCTTTTGTTTATTTAGCACATTCGTTATTTTTATGAGCCAATTTAAACTTCCAATTTTAACAGCTTTGCTGATAGACTTTCAGGTATAGGATGGTCTTCTTTTGAAAAAGCAAAATGCATTCTATTATTAACTGAATTTCCATTAAGCAACATTAATTTTGGAATGTCATAATTCATAATCAGTGGTTCATTGTGATGTGTTTTATCCAACATGTATCTTAGTGCATGGATGAAGTTTTCCTACAGTCTTTTAGTTAACTGTGTAGTATTTGTGGAACTGTATTAAAAATGTGTTCAAATTCTACCAAGCTGAAGTAGCAGCTGCATGTTAAAAACTATGACATCAATCGTAAAGTCATGGCTGAAACTCTTTTAGACCAACAAGTTAGTCTGTTGATAATCTTCACAGCACTGTCAGAATGCTCAGTCAGACGTTTTTGGTGCAGCATACGTGGGAGCTAGCCTATCTGGCTAATGAACCCTTTCTCTCCAAATAGCAGCTCGTATAAGGGTCCCCGAAACTCCATTCCTGGGTATATAATTGAGCAGCTAGGCCCATGTGGCCTTGCTAACCAGTCTCTGATAAATGCAGCCTCTCTAACTCCACTCTCCTCTGCCTATTTGTAAACACTACCTGTGCTTCAGCAGTTTGCCAGTAAAATGATGACATCTTGCTGATCTATTAAACCTTTCAATACTAGGGCCAATTTTGGGGCTTGCTTCATATTTTACATGATTTTTTGACCAAACTAATTTGCAGACATAAAGCTATGACATGCCCTGAATTCACTGGAATAAATTGGATAAAAATCATGTTAATGACCAAATCACCCCCACAAAAAAATGTCTTTACCCCTTAAAGGCCAAAGGTTCTAGAAATACAGTATCCCTTAAAGAGACACAAGCAGTTTGATGAGACTTTTTGAAATGTAAAATGTATCTATTGCTATTGGCACTTCATAAATAAATGTATTTTTAAAATCTGCCTACATATGCTCAACACTCTGGTCAAATCATTCTTCCCTTTGGTACATGAAAATAATTCACTTTTGGGCCACACAGTCCTGAAACTCCCAACACACACCACTTTCAACCAATGATACCTTTCTTAGTAAGGGGAAAATCCCATCTATGGTGCTTTCTCAGTGCTAAGAAAAAAGGAGCGTTTGCTATGTGCCAACTGGAACTCACATCTTGTTTTTAAAGGCCCATGAAATAGATTCATCACACTGATTTGATTAATCTGGGTTTCTGCATGTAATGAATTTAATGTATTAAACAGAGAGGGTAGAGAAAAAACACATTCTAGACAGCAGAAATAAATAATTTCAAACCCTCACACAGAGGTTGAGTGTTAAGATCAGATCATCTAGTGAGTGGACAAACTGAACTTTCTTTTTGTGTGTTTTTTTCCTACTTCATGATTTTTTTTAAACCATTTCATTTTTTAAAAAACTATCCTTGTGGAATGACAAGACCAAGAATGGGAAATGAGACTCAAGTGTCACCATTTATCTCCTTTCAGCTACTATTGTTGGAGTTGGGAGTTACCAATGTATTTCACTTATCTGTGTTCATATTTCCCTTCATTGTGGACAACTGAGAGTTGGCTGTGGCTCTGTCACTTAATATAATATGTCCATGTCATGTTGTTTGGAGCTATGGATTGCTTAGTTTCATGAATACTGTTATTATAGATGCGGGTGGTATATGAGACATACAGACAACTGGCCTTTCAGGGAGGTGAGCATGACCTATATCTGGCTGTTGGTTCCATAGTCTTTGTCAAAGTGAAGTCTGGGGATGTCTGCTGTGTCACTATGATGACTTACCACACATAATCTCATCATCCGTAGGAGGTGTGCTGAATGAAAACTGTCCTGTAATTCCTGTTAATATATTAATGTCAGATGTGACGTGATACAGTTGGACTGTCCAAATGTACAACTATTTAATGGTGTTTGTAGAACTGAAATGTCTTAAATGTTGCATGAAATATGTTCTAAAAATAGATTTTTTTTCTATTTTTCAAAACCTCAGAATTGAGGGTTCATGGGCCAATAAGTGCAATATTTAATGACTTACTCAGTGTATATAAACTAGTGTGAAAGAGTGAATTATAATGAATGTGTGAGATACTTTGATGGCTGTGTGCTTATTCAAATGAATTCTTGTAGCCGTATTTGTCTAGTGGTACAATTTATACAGTAAATATCTTATTGGTGTCATGTGAATCTCCTCTGTGCCTAATTTAAAGTAATTTTTTCTTAGAAGACCAAATGTTTAGTATCTGCAAATGTGTGTCAGTTTTACCTATTGAAATTGTGTTTTATTTTCCAGAAGAATGACTGTGAGCTTACTTTATAAGAGCCTTCCTTTCTATAATTCATAATTCTCCTTAAGCTTCTTGTGAGTGTAATGAGCACCTAATTTATATACCTAAGAAAAATATGCATATAAAGAAGTCACTTCTTTTCTTCTCAGAAACATTAATCACATGTCCTATCTACTAGGAATTTCCATTCTTGTATTTGTATGTATGTTTTATTGTTACTCAACCTTGTACTTTGTTTGCATTAGCTGATGTTATATTCACTTTTGATTCTCAGTTGTCCACATTGGTGACAATAGAAGAAAATTCAGTGTCCTTAATTCATTTTGTCACATTATCATAACATTGTATATATGAAGGTTAATGTAGGTCAACAATGTAAACTCTTATTTGCCATTTCAACTTTTAGGGGAAAGTGTCATTTGAGCATTTTATTCTGTAGTTGGATTTTTTTCCTTTAGTTAACAGGGTAAGCAATGATACAATAGGAAGAAAAACAAGTAAAAACTTATTCACTAATAATGATGAAGCTGATTCTAGATGGCCGTGGATGTCTGTACATGTTACACTGCCATCAGTTCTCTCTATGGCACTTGACTGGAAACTGACATGTATGGACACACCAATCCTAGGAAATGGCTCTGGACGATGTGGCCAGTGTGTGACCCACATTTAACTGTGACTGAAAGTTGTACTCAGCTCTCTAAACCTACTGAAGAGGTCAAGGGAAGATGGGTAAGATGAAGATTAGTGATAACTTTGTGCCAAATTTTTTAAAAAAGAAAAATGTAAGCAGGTAGCCAACACTAGAATGATTATTTAAACATGTGGTAAAATGTTTTGTTTGTTGTCACATAATTATTGAATGCTGTGTACTCGTTACTGTGGGAATCAAATGTGGAAGAGGCATAGCTCCTGTCCCTAAGGAGAATGAGGGGAAGAAATGCAAGATATAATTTAAGGACGAGGTTATGTCAGCGTCTAGGAGCACAGAGCTTGGGGACCTGTAAGAACTGGGAGAGTGGAGGGCAGCTCCACCAATGAGATCGCATATAACTCCAGAAAGAATTAGAGAGTGAGAAGATTGTGCCAGGCAGATAAATGGGAGAGACCACAGTACATTCCCTGTGAATGGAAGGGGATTGGCCGCTATAGATCATTGTTTTTCTCAAAACAACCAGAGTGACCTTCTGAAAACCCTCCAATTACCCCAGCGTAGCTCCCTGCATTTTGCTCTTCATTTGGAAGACAAGCTGCTATTTCCTCATGCTCCTCTATGCTGAACAGCCTCCCAGGGAACCCCAAAGCCCAATTGCTTTCCAGCCACATTAGAGCAGTTAATGTAGACATTTGCCAATGTACCAAACCTTGAGACATTATTTAATCTAATGTCATCCATGCAGATATGCACCCAGACAGTTTTCTGAAGCTCCATGTTTCCTAAGAAGGGATAGGAAATACACTGATAAAGACCTTCCTTTGTAACTGGGCACTTTGGGCTCCTTCTCAGTGACTGCACTGTGGATCTCTTCTTGAGAAAATATTGACAACAGCTTAATGCTTTCATATAGTGACTGTGATGTTTAGTTGAAACTACTGCTGCATAGCAAATATTGTGACTCTTAATGTGTCCACGGGAGCTCTTGTCTGGGTTTAAAGCTATAAAGTGTATTCACATTGTGAAATTTTATCTTTATTGAAATTAATTGTGTAAAAATGGTATGTGCTCTATTAGATATTAAGTTTGTATGTGAATTCTGTATGGAAAGTGGTTTTTGTTCTTTGAGTTTATCTTGTATTATTTTTTGGAGATTACAATAAATATCTAAGAGACTATATTCCTGAATTTCTTAGACTGGCGAAATGATTTTTAAATCTCCTTTTCACTGTATGTTCACTTTTGGTTTTCAAATGACTATTTTCACTTCTTGTAATCTTCCCTCTTACCTCCAGGTGCAACACTGATCTTGAATTGGAGATAGGAAGTGAATACATTTTTTTAGGGCTATAAGTACCCATCATACGAATTTATACTTAAGTGCAGGAGTAACTTACAATACTTGTAACATTTTAGGGAAGGAACATTTTAACTGACCAAACAGTGTTTTAGAACTACAAAGGCCTTGGGTATAGGTCAAAATATGCTCAGGTTTTAAAAAATCATCTCTGCTACCTGAAGAACATCTGTTCTGCTGTCAGAAGCCTACTGTTGGTGCTCATTTTAACAACTCACTGGAAAAGAGCAGTCAACAGGAACAGCACATGAGAGTGATATGCAAGTGCGGTGGACATCATTTAATGCATGGTGCTTGGTGCAGGGATGGTTGGGGTGCTCTGCAGGCTCTCCTTGACCAATCTCTCAAGAGGTGATGAGGTATCCAACTAGCAATCTAGTCACATCACAGCAAATTCATTAGTAATTCTGAGATTCCTTAGGTTCTGATTTGTGTCAACATCTCTAATTCCATAGTTTCTCCCAAAGATACCTCCCAAACCATTTCCAGAAGTCTGCACTGAGAATAAGTGAAATGGTCCCAGGACGATGCATATGAGTCAAATCAGCATCCTGCAACTAAACTCAGTGATAGAACGGTCACTTAACAATATGGACAAAGCATGGAAGAAACAAAAAAAATAAGGACAATATATAATAAAGGAAACAATATATAATAAAGGACAACAATAATAAAGGAAATTTTGGTTATAGTCTCAACAAATGTTTATTAGGATGACTCCTATGTTTTCAGTTTCTTAATACACATGAAACACACACAGTAAGTTCCTGACATTTAATGAATTGTGATGGAGGATGACATGTAAGTTATTACTTCACCACAGTTTACAAATTTACTCCCCAATAATAATAAGTATTTGAAATAAATATCCAAAATTTATTTCAAGAGCTCACAAAAAGATCTTTGAAATGTTATAAAGTATATATTTTTAGACTGTCACCCCTACATTCAGATACATGAATAAAAACTGATAAAGGTCTAGTCAATGACAAAACCCAAGAAAGACTATGTCTATTTCCTGGTCATTCTGAAGTTCCTATGGCTAAACCACATCCAGCAAATTTTAGCAGCAATGCAGAGTGACAGTCTACTGTCACTCTGGTAATATCCCCCTGGTTGTGAATTAATTTTTAAAAATAAAACTACCACTTAATGACTTTTTATCACAGCATTAAGACTAACTAACACACCCATCACCCTTAGAAGATGCCAACACATTCTCTTCTTGGTTTCCCACTGGTTTTGAAAATGATCCCTTTAATATAAACTCAGCTTCTGGTCTCTAAAAAACTTCTCAGAGACACTCCTTTATTTCCATCATTTCTCCACTGATTTCCCATCTGCTACACACATGCTCCAAAAAAGTCTTTTGTGGAAGTAGGTTCATCATTGTTTCTTCCTAATCTACTATAAATCTATTGAATCCTTCTGGCCTAGAGTTTGCTATCAATTCTAAACCATAAGAAATTTCAGCTAAAATTCATATTATCAATTCCAATGCATTTCATTTCTAATGCAAACCTGCTCACTACATGAAAGAAAAGCAGAATGTATAAAAACCATGTGACAGGGCATGTTTTGGAGGAAAATTGTAATTAATATTCCAAAACAACATTCTGCCAAAGAGACAAGTACAATATGGTTTGATTATGTCAGTGTAAATGCTAAACACAAGCTACTATGTTTATGATGATAACCAAAATTGTGGGAGTGGCATGCAGGAGAGTGTTTCCAGTGAGAGAGGAGTACCCTAGGAACCAGTATTCACTCCATTCATAGATAACTGAGGAAGGCAAGCTCACAAAGGAGACTTACAAAGGGAGTGGGGCTGTAGTAGGAATAGAGTTTGCTCCCTGTGAAACTCATGTTGTAGTTGAATCCTCACTGTGTTGTAGTAAAAGAACAGAAATTCAAACCAACTATGGTACTTTGAGGTGGGACATTTCAGGAGCAGTTAGTAAATTCAACAATGTGTTGCCCCTATGATTGAATGTGAGTAGATTTATGAAAACAAAACCCAGAGATATGTATACATGGCCCGCCTCTTCCATGTGAGGCTCTGCACCACCATAGAACTCTCAGCAGAGAGACCATTGCCAAATGCAGCCTGTTGATCTTGGGCAAAGTAAACCTTTTTTCTTTATAACTTTCCCAATCTGTGGTATTGTGTTATTAGGACCAGAAAATAGACTATGTCAAATGGTCAAAGAGATGGACAGAAAATTAAAAGACAGTAGGATGGCAAAAGAGGTGTAAATTTTGAGAAAGGATCTACATTTTAACATAACAGAGGGCTCTCAAAACTTCCAATAAGTTTTGAGGAGAAGTTTTAGAATGGGGCGAAGAAGTAAATAGGAATGACAAAGACAATGCTATGTTCCCCCCAAATCTCCGTGTGCTGCAGTCTTGGTCCCCAGACAATGGCACTATTGGAAGGAAAGCAATGGAAGCTTAGGAGGTAGAGGCTAGTGGAAAGAAGCGAGGTCACTGGGGGCCACGCCCTTGAAGGGGATACTGGGACGCTGGCCACTTTTCTGACTTTGCTTCCCAACCACCAAGACGTCAACAGCTTTGCCACTATAGGCTGAAAGCAAGTAGGCAAGAAACCGTGTTCTGCAACTCTGGAAAGCATGAGGTAGAACAAATATTTCCTCTTGTTATTTGATTAGCTCGGGTATTTTATCAGAGCCACAGAAAGATGACTGTCACTTTTTTTTAGGTGCTTCAGAAGAAAGGTTATTGAATGTGAATAACTTAAAGACTCTTATTTCCATGTACATCATTATATGTGAAGAAAAAGCCAGTAAAAGTAGAGTTTAGAGATACAAGCAAAAATCCAAATGTAATTCTCATATTTCTGCTCCTGTTCCTGTCTCCTCTTCCTCCCTATGTTACCTGCCAATAACTTCTATGCAGTCATTTCTACCTCACTGATTTTGTTCTCTCCAAATATTTTTACTGATATGTTGGACACTAGGTATCCAACAACTACTAGCGACAAAACCAACATCTATTCTTTATGAGGTTTATACTATAACAGAATTTGAAATATTTATGCTTTCCTTTATTTACAAACTAAGCAAGGAAAGTGCTGTCTCAGTTACTTTTTCATTGCTGAGACAAAATACCTGACACCCACAAGTTAAAGGAGGAAAGGTTTATTGCAACTCACAATTTGCACAAATTTTAGTACAGTCAGTTGGCCCCTGCAGGGTTGCAGAGGGGCACTGCAGAGGAGAGGCCATTCATGGCAGAGCAAGGAGGTTGCAATAACGTTGATCCTCCCATTCCCTTTATGTTTCATCCAGGCTACAAACATTAATTTGTGCCTCCCACATTCATGGCAGAGCTTCCTGTGATCCACACTCAGAACCATACTAAATCAGTCAGTGGACTAATTTAATTATCACACACTCTTAATCCATATTCACACACTCTATATGCAGCCACCTCCAGCCACCTCCACTATGAGCACGTAAGTCTTCTGGGAGTATCTAGATGTAAGCCATGCAAGGGTTACCTTATCTCAACAGTGATGGATACATAGCTGATGCAATAACAACCAGAAAGCAAACAGTCAGTTAAGTGGGTAACAAGCCCACTGGAGCAAAGGTTATAAATTGCTCACCAAATCACAAAGGTATTTACAGGAGGAAGAAAGGTGATCTTATCTTTTTGAAAAGTTAGCAGCTACTCAATTATACTTTTTGCCACTGGGTTATAATATGTCTGAGGTTGTGACTGAGTTCACTTCAGAGCAAATATGAATTAACATATCCTTCAGTGTCTTTTTGCCCTTGCCTCTAGTCATAGAATAGGAAAGTCAAAAGACTGGGAACGTGTAAGACTACTCGAGTAAATCAATATTTAAAAATATCTTGAGAAGAACTTTGGAAAAAATGATATTTATGATGTAAATTTTGATGTAACCAAACATCACAAGAAAAAATGACATTCATAAAATACCATCTGTTGACCCTTGAACTGGAGAATTCATGTTCTGTAGTAGGAAGTAGGAGAAGGGAGAGGATAGGTGACACTGATTTAAATTAAGAGTATAAGCAAGAAGTCAAAAACAGGTTTAAAACAAATTTGGAGTTGTCTTTTACATTACATTAAATTTTCTGATGGTTTGAATTCCAATCTTAGAGCACCACATAGAGTTTTGATAATAAATACTCTCAAGATTTCTTTCTATATGGGAACTGAAGAAGCCCTTCAAAACACCCCTCCTCATTTGCTGATTTACGATACAACTACTTGTAAGGCATAGTTACATATTTCCTATGCAACATTCCTTAACAGCCTCCTAAAATTGCTATAACTCTCAGTTAAAAGACATTTCCAAACTTCTCTTGCATAGCTGTCTGCCTTTAAATAGTAATTTCTAGAAGATTTTTCTTGTATTGTTGATAGAGAAGACAAGAGACTCTTCCAAGGGTAATGTGATATTAGAAAGTATAATGACAGTTATTGGGATTTACTAGTCATAATTTCCATTTAAGTTCCAGATCAATCTCATGAATAAAATGATGGTAGATTGAAGGAACTTACCTTCAGATTTAAAATACTAATTGCTTGATATTAAGAACATCCTAAAACTGCTCTATCCATGATCAGATCATTGAAACTAAACATGTATTTTTATGGCATCTCCAGTATTTTCTCCCAGACTCAGCGTGCATTATTGCATTCGTCTATTCATTCAATGAGGAGAAAAATTTGAAAGCCAACGTGTCCCAGGAGCATCAGTTCAGTATTTCATCATTCTGAGGCTCTCTCTATGGGAAAGATAGGTTGACCAGTAGTCAGCTTAATGCTCCTAATTCCT